GGTCACTTCAACGAAACAGCTGTACACTACTTCCTACACTGCCCACTGTACACTGACGAACGCATTGACATGTTATCATCTCTAACTAACATTCTGCCATTTGACACAAACAACGTCACCGACAACACTTTATGTTCAACCATTCTCAGGGGTAACCCCTCATTGTCGTTTGTCAACAACTGTAACATATTTGATGTGGTTTTCAACTTTATTTTGCAGGCAGGACGTTTTGTTTGATTTAGTTGATTCATTTTGATTTGTACACCAGCATACTATGTACCCTTGTCATTTCTTATTATTATTATTACTTTGTTTTATTGTATCCTTTTATGTGTGAGGAGAGGGCTGAGATAAGTTTTATAACTTTTTGCCTCATCCTCGGAAAATAAATGTGAATAAAATAAAATAAATAAGGGCCCTTAAAAACAAGATGCCTAGATTAGAAATATACTAAGAGACGACAAATGTTAGGACACAAATTCAATGAGGTGACACAGTGTAACAAGCAAGAAGTCTTTTATTCATCATCAAAACAGCAATAAATCAGGTGGAACAGCAGTTGTCGTCCTGTCCTGTTTGGGCGTTACGGGTTTAACGTCAATCAGATGATTTGCGGCACTGTCGTGACTCTTTGGTCATAGTTACAGGAAGCGGAATTTCTTGTTTTTTTTTCTAGGAACAGGCCAAAATCAATGCGCGCGCGGACGTCATCCATAAAATTTACTTGGTGTGGCCTAAAAGAAAGTCAGCAGAAAAAAGTGTAATGAAGAAGGTCGACCGAAAAAGAACACTTTGATATCTTTTTTTAACAACTTGTATTGCAAATAATTGATATAGCAGTATCTGTAATCATGCTAGATATGAACTTGTTCGTGTTATATTGTTTACTCTTGTATTGATAAGCTTGGATTTACTGTAATCATAATCATAATTTTGATTTGTACACCAGCTCATTATGTACCTTTGTCCTTTCTTCTTCTTATTATTATCATTACCTTGTTTTATTGCTTCCTTTTATGTGTGAGGAGAGGGCTGGCATAAGTTTCATAACTTTTTGCCCAATCCTCGAAAAATAAATGTGAATAAAATAAAATAAATCATAATTAGGACTGATTAGTTCACTTATTTGTTCACCATTATTGTATATAGCCTACCTTTATTTGTGTGCATATTTTGTTTGGATTCTGTTATCTGTTCCTTTGATCGTCTTTTGTTTATGTATAACTTACTGAATCGGTGTCGTATAAGCCCACACGGGCTGGGCGCGGGATAGCGCACGACGCGAAAATAAAGTATTCATTCATTCATTCATTCATTCACTAATCCGGGTGCATGTCTGTGTGTCTGCAGGAAGGGGAGCGAGGAGGCAGACCTGGTTCCGGCGCGGATAGCCAACGTAAAATGCCCGCAGATCGTCATCCAGTTCTACGAGGAGAGGCTGACCTGGCATTCCTACCCCAGTGAAGAGAACCAGAACGACTCGGGCAGCACTTCAGAGACTACGAACGAAGTCTGATGACAGCCCATTTTCCAGAGCTATTTTTTTTCCTTTCATATCGTTATCGAAAGTACTTTCTGGATAGGATAAGAAGAAGATGTTCTCGCACCAAGGAGCATATTCTTCTGTAGTGATACTCTTAACAAGTCGGTCGATGTAACTTACACTGATAGAAATGCATGGTGTCTTTTCCAAAAACACTTGTTAACAGGCCAACTTCTTAACTATGTATTTCTCTTTGTAATAGTTAGGTCATTTCACCAAAGGGACAATATTTGTACAAGAGAAACCATTCCCCATCTACAAGTGTATTTCATAATGGAGGTTTTGGCCTTTTGGATGTAAAAAAAAATATGAGGTTGGCAAGTGGGTTTATACTTGGTATAAGGACAAGAAACATCTAGGGGGAATTGTAGATGTCTTAAGCTGCAAAACTTGTGTTTTAGGTATTAAGCCTGCAAGGAAAATGTCTTGTATCACAGGTATTGTCACATTTAAGGTGGGCCTGACATGCACACGGCATTCCATCTACAACACCAAATCGAAAAGGTACCTTACAGAGTGGGCTTCTACAATGAAGTTGTTCACAGTACCGAGAGAGTTCTGTATAATGGGTGACATCTGGGCTTGATTTATATTTTAGATAAATGTGCATGTCCGATGGTTGAGCCCCCATCTTACTGTGGCATATGAGAAAATTTGGGAGTGTGTATGTCTTTGGTTTTGTAAATAGGCTTCAGCCAAGTCAACGTAAGATGTCATCCATAGGAAAGGCTAACCACCAGAGGAATTTTAGTTATAGCTTTTTTTATATGATGAAGACGGTTGAGCTATTTAGTGTTTTATGTAGATGGCTTGTAGTGAGCACCCATGCGTAGATAGTGGCTATTGCTTTCTGATGGCATCTGTGCCCTAAGCCAGGAGTAGAATTATATTGACCTGTGGATTAATTTTGTGGTATTAAGAACGTACAATACTAGTATTCAAAGTACATTTCTGACAACAGCTAACATTTTACATAACCCCAGAGATGACTTGTAACTGGAGTATTTCAAATTCCATTTTTATTGCAGTTCTGGGAAGAAACAGAGCAAGTTTTTCAGGCACCCTCGTGTATAAATTCACTGTAACAAACTACTAGTGTGTGTACTATATTAAGCATGGAGTGCTTGGACACATTACACTCAAGCTGGGATTATCGTTGCTTAATTTCCACTTTCCTATCAACAGTACAGACAGCAAAGAACATGTACAACATTTCTACTTACTAACAAGTTGTAGCAACAACTTTCAAAAACATTCAATCATAGGTCCAACTTATATAAATTTCATGAACATTTTTGTAATGTATGTGCCATTAATGTTCCAGACTTAATGGTAATAGTCTGAGCATTTATTATTGACTACTTGCTGGCTATGAGAGTCCGTTTTTTTTCAGCTTGTACATTTCGAACAGTAGGTACTGATGTGTTGTACTGTTGCTTTGGCTCTTTTCTCTGGAGTATTAGTTGTGTATTTATGTTCAATAAAAGTTCCATGTGTACAGAGTTCCATGTCTGTTGGTTTCACATGGGTTGAGTCAGTACTATCTCTTTGTTCAAATGTCAGTGTAGCCAAATGGCTTTATATTGGCATGACATCAGAGTTGGCAAATAACGTAGTGAAAGTTTAGACTTCTCCGCAACTACCAGAGCTAAAGAAATAAGCCATGTTAAAGCAGCTACCCAGGTATCCCCAATGGGTTATTAACAAAGCCATCAAATTAGCATGTGCACAAGGGCCCAGTAGTGAACTGCAGAAAGACCTCAGTAGTCCAGGACACGCAGTTGTCTGTAAAAACCAAGCATAAGGTGGCCAAACTAAAAAAAATTCTCTTCACTTTTGTGTGGTGGTAGAGACTTTGTCTAAACCTACAAAAGTGGGAAAGTTTTGGTTCAGTGTTTGTTGGTTGCCACGGCAATGGTCATTTTTCAAAATGGCGGATTTTCACCTTGTGAAGGCAATGGTCTTGCCCAAAATAGACCATCTTTGACCTTCTGTATCTCACAGAAAATAATAACATATTTTATTGTCTCTAACAGCTTTAATTATCCATCTTTAAAAAAAAAAATGATATAAAGTCTTGCTCCTTGAGAGAACAGTTTGGGGTGCGGCGAACTGTTCTCTTAACGGACAAACTCCCTTGGCATGCTTATCTCTCTATTTGGCCGATTTCTACTCTTTCCAGCCGCCTCCCCAAGCCTGGTAGAGGCTAACTACATTTGTACATTGCTCAGTTGTCTATTCATGGCGCACTGAAGAGAGCTTCTTTCTTACCCTGTCGCTTTCTTACCACTTCTAGTACTTTCTGCATACAGTATACCAGAAAGAGATCTGCATCAAATCACTAATATTATTAGCACATACTCTTTCACAATATTCATTTTTCACAATAATATTCAGGAGTGGTCTATAGACACTGTAGCTCGCTTTAACTCTTGTGGCTATTAATAATGATGACTATGCAATTCGATTAATTAAGATACCGTACTGACTCCTGTCCTCATGAGAGGTTAGGTTGGATGAAGAGAAACAATCTACAAATATCTGCAATGAAGAGTGCCCCAATTCCCTACCTGGCCCGACACTATCTCTTTACTCACTTGATATTTCACATTAAAACATGGGCTGCACTTTCTGCAAGTATTCGAAACGTACTTTTAGGGAAACAGCCATACACTAGGTTAATAGTACTGCGGGATCTGGGATAAGGTCCCCCCCCCAGGTCGCTGTTTTAGAGGAATACTCTGATAAAAAAAGATTCTTGACAACAGTTCCTTTCTGCAGATCAACCACATACTTACTGGGAGCGTCTTGACGGTATCAAGGCGTTTATTTGGGGGGAGAAAACTGCCACATACAAGCTGCAAGTAGTGTACACCTCTACCTTGTATACTAAGTACGTGTTGCAGTTCTGATTAATACTGCTAGGTGGCGCTGTGAGACGGTCGGATGACCACCTGTTGGCTGAACTGGAGACTGTTGAATCTAGTTGTAAAAGGCGGACTCTGAGAAGGGATATTCTGATAAATAAATATTCTTTTAACAGCAGTTTCATATGCAAATCAACCACATACTTACTGGGAGTGTCTTAATAATCACAATCCGTTTATTTTAGGAAGAAAACTGCCGAAAATGCCTGATACGTACGGCGGACATGCACTGTACCTTGTATAGTATACCGTGTTAAAGGCAATGCTTATGGGTATAAAGGGGTTACCTTTACCATCAGGAAGTCTCAGGTGTTTTCAGGCAATATTTGGTGGCGGAGGGACATTTATTTTAGAGCTTTTTAAAGAAAAGTATTAAGGATTCAAGACTTTAACGCAATGTTTCGGGGCCATATTCTACTTAGAACCATAGTCAAGATATTATAGTATTAAGGCAATATTTAAGGAGGGTTATCACAGCTAAGATATAAAAGTTTTAAGGCGATATTTAAG